AGCATTGCCATGCTAACAGAAGCTGCCACAATACCAGCATCGATTAAAACGTATGCACAACCGAAAAAAAACGCGATGCTTGCTTTTTGCCTCTGCAACGAACAGCAACACTAGGCGCACGAAAGTCTGGCTGAGTCAAAGGAAACACCGCACATGAAGCGACCAGCCTATTTCAACTTGCTCACTCTTTGGAGACGCTGCAAATCACTTGCAAGATAGGGTGCGGGCGCCAGCTTTTATCGGCAACTGCTGCACGAGGCAACAACTTGGTGCCTCCAGTTTTGGCTTGCTAGGTGGGGAACGAAGAGAGATAAGGCACTTCTTTCTGCCACCCATGAGGCAACGCGGTGCAGCGCCGTAGGAGCAGGCAGAAATCAATACATTGGGTTTTACACGGGGTTTTACATCCCAAGCCCACAATATGATGGCGAAGGATGCCATAGGTGAGGGCTTCAGTGTATTCCTAACATTGCACTGGCGTCGTGCCTTTTGTGAGGCACGGGCCTCAAGCATCTCACCTCCACCAAAATGCGACCGCAGCTGCCAAGGTTGAACTCGCAACCTTAGGGCCAGCAGGACATCATCATAACCACTGCGCCACCGCTGTGGATCGAGACAGGGAATAGGGAAGCTAAATATACAAAAAATACATGAGGACGCCTGTCCATTATTTGGCAGCAGATGTTGACGATTGCAAGCGCAGGTTAAATGTTGATACTCGGTGCAACAGACGCTTCGCTTCGGATCCTCTCTAACACGCTCACATTCGCCTGCACCAAGCCCAGTTCGTTTGTGGTCACACCGACCCATCTTTCGCCATGCGCGGAAGCATCAGTGGGCTCCTTCGCGTACATTCTGTCGATCACACGCCACATTACGCGTAGGACGTGAGCGCATGTAATGGAACTTGCACGGAACACAAACCACGACAGCGACCTTCACGTCGAAATGAATTTCTCTTTTGGAGTGAACCCATTATTTCTCTCAAAATGAAATTATATATGTTCATTTGTTTATGTACTGAAAATTATCCCCAGAAAAGCAATGATGCATCAATGAAGATAGGTAAATCTTTTCTCGTTGATTGAACACGACATGTCGTATCAGAGGTTTCCGATTTCGATCGGCAATATAATCATGGTCCAAGCTCGATTCTCCTGTCCTTCCTTGACACCAAAGCAATTTTGCGAACTCGTTCAAGAATTCATACAGCTGCTCACTTGGTACAAACGTGAATACTGCACGACGAGCAAAGTCGAAAAGCAGTCGTCGTGTCCGGCAGGTGCACTCTTTGACCCATGCCAACGCGTTAAAGTTTAATGGCACAACCGATTTTCTAAAGTCCCATTTATCGGACCACGCGTGTGAGCGCGGCTGAAACGACCAGACCTTCTATAAACGACGTGCTCGGAGTATATGTCTGCCGCATAAACGGCTGATTCTGTACTTTCACCGTCCTTATTATTTTTCTCACCCGTAATCACAGGCATGATCTACCAGGCAGGGTTTTTTTTTTATGTGATGGCAGTGGCACCTCACAGTTAGGGTGGAGGCGAAACTCTTGTGGTGCACATCTAAACGCGCAGTGGGCCGCTGTTAGGCAGAAAAAAAGTATTTGCGGGCGCCCAAAGAAAGGCAGGCGCGGAACAATCGATGGCGCCGCCGTGACCCGATTTGCAGGCGGCTGCTTGAGGGTCGCTGCTATCGCTAATGGAGCCACAAAGGGACCACCCGCGTGCGCAAGGAGGTGACCGCGCAGAGGTGGTCCAGTGTAAAGGACAGTGCGGCCTGGCTCTCTTGCTGCTGCTTCGATAAATGGCAGGTGGATAGGATGGGCTCGATTGCAAAATGTCGCGTGTGGCTTTATGATTGGCTTTCAGTACAGGGCCTAGGAGCTTCCCGTGAGTATATATAAAAAAGTGACGATAGTCTAGCGCTAAAGGGGTGCGTAAAGGCTGTTACCCAATAAACGTCCTTCTCTATTACTGTTAACTGCGCTGTTGAAACACATGTATAGTGCTGAGGAATTGTGACTCGATAACGTAGAACGCGATGTATACACGAGCTATCTAGGGTGCCAAAGTGCGTAGTAATATATCCCAAGAAATGAGGCCGGCATAAAGATGTTGAAAGGTCGTGCTATATTTAGGCAAGTTGTGTTCATTTTAATGTGGTTTCTGCGGCCTGGCTTCATTACTTTTATTTTTTTGTCGCATTCAAAAGGCGAGGTGGTTGCTAACTCTCCATTCCTACGTACTCCTCGAGCTGCTCGTTTTGCCTATACTGAAAGCAATCAAATATCGATTTTGCTTTCCAAAACTGACGCTGCCGAGTAACTCCACATGCTTGCTCGCAAGCGCACCACGTCTCAATAGAACAAGTCACATTTCACCCACGCAGGATTATGTGCGATAGAACAAATTCTCAGTCTTCGGATTTCTCCAGAACTTCGCCGACGAGACGCTACTATGCTTGGCAGATTATGAATGCGTGTCGCATTTACCAATACCTGCGCGTTCCGGTGGTGGTCGTCATTCCGCAGGCCACGGGGACGTTCAGAACTCCAGAGAGCTGAGGCAGAGGGACAGGCGTAGAGGAAAACTTAACAAGACGTTTATTTGCAACATGTTGGACAGTAACATCCGAACGACGACTCTTCTCGCGACACTCTCCTGTTTTCTTCTGTTTTCTTCTGAACTGCCGTGCAGTTCCGAAGATAGGGGCAGAATGTCTCTTCGGGGAACCAACCACTCATGGAGAGCAAAACACAAGTATCCCATCACACACGTGGCAGATGCACGTGGCACACGCACGGGGATTCGGAAGCGACCACGCAGGAGAAATTCACGGCAGTCGCTCCTGTAGCACACAACCGGCCTTCCGCACATTCCAGAGGGGCCCGCCCGTAGCCACTGCCCCGCAGGCGAAGCGCACAGCCGAGACAAATACAGCCGGTGCAGGTGACAACCCGCACCCCATAAAAGAATGTCCGAGATGACGGGAAGGCACGCTTGGGGGCAGCCGGCCCAAGGACTTCGTTACTGCTTTGTAACAAGGGCTGTGAAGGCGCTTTGGCACTTCTTGCGTTCAACCTGCCGCTACAAGCGATTGTGATCAGAACGCCCTGCATGTGTGTGCGTGTGTATTGTTTTCCTACAGTATTTTATAGCTCTCGATCTCTATTCTCTTTCGGACCCTTATTTTCCCACCCCAGTACAGGGTAGCAAACCAGTTCTTCCAGGTTACCCTCCCTATCTTTATTTCTATCTCTCTCTCTCTACCTTGTCATATAACTCGCGACGGTTATTTCTGTGTCAAAATTATTGGCGCAACTACAGAAAAGCCCCAATACTCATATATTGTGTGATCTAGTAGATGCTTCATAACCCTCCAGTTATGTTAGAGAGCCCTAGTGAGACAACAAGCCCATGGGATGAAATGAATGATATTGAAGACCCTCGGTGTAGGTGTTACTTGATCGAGTATAGATACAAGCGAATAACTGGGTGTGTCCTGTTGAATCTACGTGGTATTTCTGGTGTCACACTCAGTTGTGGTGTGCACAAGGTTCATTTTGAAATATGTCCAAGTGAGCTTGTACGTTACGTTCTTGTACATCACATCACTTTAATTTTTTTAAGGACCCGTGAGAGGACATTACGTAGGGGCAATAACACAGTTCAGCCATGTGACGTCAATTGCAAAAAAAAATGCTACACTAAGATGGTTCATGGAATACTGATCATTTTGAAAAAGGTCGATCCAGTCATATGCTTCACCTGTAAACGAATATGTAACGACGTGTGCAGGTGATCATGAATATTGTAGTTCACGTCATCACAATGAGCCATAGAGGCAGGGGAACGATGCAAGGGGCGTGGATGAGATCACAATTTCCTGCAATATTTGCTAAAGGGAACTCTGGTGCTGCGATTATTTAGCCACCAGGGAAATAATGAGAAGTACACAGATTCACCCATTCTTCGTGCTTGCGGCCTTGTTTATTGTCATGCTTTGGCATTTGTTTTGGACAAAGAAAAAGATAGTTGTAAACTTCGTCAGTCGATTTCAATTAGTGAGCCTTAAGAGGCCAACATTGCGAAGTTCAACTGCTGAACGTGTGCTGAACTTCACCTTGCGACAAAATATTTGCAGGCCACATGGAGCTAAACGAAAGCGAAAGAACAAATGCTTAGGCAAGTTCGTGTACTATTCATCAGTCCCATATATTGCATCAATACTCGTGAGTAACAGCCGTAGCAGCTGCCACAGATGATAGCGCCTGGTTTCCTTCTAATGTAATATATAGAGAACTCTGTGACCGCAATCACTCTACAAATAGGGAATAAACACCAAGTTCAATACAAAGGCATCGACAGAGAGTAGATAAGCCAGACTCAGCTTGCGAGAATGATACGCTAATTTAGTGAATGTAGATGGAGTGTGTGTGGTTCTGAACTGCTTTACGAGCAGAAACGAGGGTGGGCTTCAGATGGCGGATGCGTACTCGACCTTTGGTCTTACAAGCAATTCTGCTAGTAGTTTTACCTGCACGTGGACATAATGCAGGTTGCGTTTCGGGGACCCAGTGTTTTATTGGCAAGTAATACAGTGTCATATCAGCGTGTTATGACAGGCCATAGCATAAGGCCTCAACTCAAAGACCGCCAATTCAGTGCGAACATGAGAGGGGTTTAAAAGAACGGCAGAAGTATACATATTTACATTCGCTATAATTTAAACTCGCTAGTTTCACCCGCGAGGACGTGTGTGAAATAAATATGTACCCCTGTCCACCTTGTTGTCCAGCATACTTGCAAAGTTTGTTGAACACATTACATTATGTTGAAGTGAGAGAAGTTCCTGAAAAAACTCACAATAAAAGTGTACATTGACTCTGCCATCGATTCTTTTGAAACCGCAAGCACTTCTCTGCCTTTTTTCTACCGCAGATACAAGTATAACACCACAAACACCGAGGAAGCGGCTTCTCGACCAGGATGATATCGGCAATGCCAGCGGTGGCCGTCCGCCGCGAGCGGCGGCGCAGCAAGAGCGGCCGAGGTCTGTGCTCTCGCCAGGGCAGCATCGCCTCGCTACCGCACCGGCCCGACAGCATGTCGACACTCAGCTCCGTGCCCAACGCGCCGGCGGCACGTCGGTGGCGGAAGAGGGGGGGCACCATCCAGGATCAGCGAGCCCGCGTGCTCATATACCTGGCCACATTGCTCCTGGTGGCCGGACTCATCCTGCTCTTCATCGGCGTCGGGGCACGAGTGAATCACACGCGCACCGTCGGACTGCTCTTCATCGCAGTCGGCGCGCTGCTGTGCCTTGTCAAGGTGCGTGCCTGTCACGTGGAGTTCTCCTGTTGTCTTCGGAACCCAAAATGCTTACTAATGAGCTTGTAGCGCCCTCCTTCTGGCGGTGCTCAAAACAGAGAGCACGCTATAGCAAAAGAAAGAAAATAAAGACGGCTCCTGGCGGTGGCACTTGGAGCCAAGGCTCGCGTTCCTTGCTGGCGTCGGTTGTCGTTCAGGCGTCTCTTTCATGCGGCGTAAACCTATAATCTCCTGAAAATAAGTGGCAGAGATCGACGCTAATCAATTGAGGGAACAAGGATAAATTGTGCACCTCAACTGCCTATCAGATCAGAATGTCTTCATTAAGCCGCGCTATCACAGGAGGGATCAGAGGAGCAGGAGCAGGAGGTTCAGAGGAGCAGGACTGGCATAAGCACGGTGCGGACAGGAGGTGCCACAGGGGCTGAATTAGGGTGCCGGATACATGTTAGGTTGGTTAGATAGATAGATAGATAGATAGATAGATAGATAGATAGATAGATAGATAGATAGATAGATAGATAGATAGATAGATAGATAGATAGATAGATAGATAGATAGATAGATAGATAGATAGATAGATAGATAGATAGATAGATAGATAGATAGATAGATAGATAGATAGATAGATAGATAGATAGATAGATAGATAGATAGATAGATAGATAGATAGATAGATAGATAGATAGATAGATAGATAGATAGATAGATAGATAGATAGATAGATAGATAGATAGATAGATAGATAGATAGATAGATAGATAGATAGATAGATAGATAGATAGATAGATAGATAGATAGATAGATGTGCACTCTTGTACCACACCGATTCCGACTTCGTTTAATTTGCGCAGGTATTTATCACCCCGGAAAATCACCACACCATTGTGCGGCGAGCGAGGCTGGTGTCTTCGCGCGAGTCCCTCTACGTGGCGCCAGCAGTCAAGAGCGTGCCCGAGGAAACCACGGAGCAGGTGCGCCGGGAAGCTCAGGATTCCGCGGCAGGAGCCACCGCTGCGGCTCCCACCAAGACCAGCCCTCTGATGGACGCGCACACAGCTCTGCCGCACACCAACAACAGCAACAGCGGAAGCAGTCCGGCGCACAGCTTGCACGCGGCGGAGACGCAAGGACTCATATCCGAACGGGGTCCGCAGCTCACTGAAGGCCGCTTTTGAGCGCCGCCCGCGCGTTACGTCGGCTCGTCCCGCTGCGCGCCGCGTGGACTGATAACCCTCAGCCCCTAACAATGCACGGGCGTACACCGCTTGGCCAAGCAGCGATACCGACAGCGATTCTGATGGCGAACCTTGACCTCCGATAGCGTTTTTCTCGCTAACGACGATGCTTTTTTTCGTTGCTGGTGACGTTCGAGTCTAACGACACAACCCTATGAGGACATCTCACGGATTACCGAGTTATTTCACTTCCGTTACACTCAACTCGCCAACAACGACATTTTCTAATGGGTGTTGACCTGGATGATCAAGAATATCTACGAACAATGGTGTCGTGGCGTGAACCGCGTCCGCTAAAATGCCCTAGTACAAGTGGCAGGTACGGGTCCTTCTGGGACAGAGAGCATCACCTCAGCATCATCTTGACCAAATGGTGACTACCTTCGAGCGTCGATAACTAGTGCTCCGCATTCGTTGTGAATATCATGTCGTCGAGTTCGACAGCTCTGCGACGGGCACGTGATTAGATGGTTTAGATGGTTTCTGGAGCCTGAACTGTGCGCGCGACCTCCTTGCGCTCGTGGATACTATTCCGGGATCAAACTGCGTCCGAGGGTCGATTCATGCGGTAAAGACAAGCCTCGGTTGGCGATGAACTTCTGATCGCTAAAGCACGTAACCTCGGTCATCTAGTGGATGTCTGAGAATGCCTATTGCTTGGAATCGGCTGCATGGTTACGTCGTGATTCTTCAGCTTCAACCATGCTTTCGATCCCCTTGCGTGGCTTTGCGGTGAAACACGGGATGAAAGTGCGCACTTGTGAAGTGAAGCCTTGCTTGTGATGTGTTGTTCGCTCCTAAGCCACGCACCCACGGTCATCTGGGTAACATCGCAGAGTGCGAGTGGTGTCCTGGACCGGCCACTATGCTCTTACGTGGTCCAGCAGTCATTGCTACTGCGTGTGATGTGCGGTATTAGACCCGAAGCTCGTGCGCAGTTTTCCATCATGAGAATGACAGGCCGCGATGTGAATCAGTGCTGGGAAATCGATGTGAATATAAAAGCCTCTTTCCTTCGCTGGGTTGAAGCAGACTAGGCGTACAACGTCTGGTAAAATATCTCGGCCCCAGCCGGCATATTCACTGATACAAAACGTTGTTTTGGGGAGGGTTGTGTGTACAGCAGGGCGGAACGCCTCAGCGCAAACACACTACACACTACGACCTTACGGAGAGACAACACAAACACGATTCATGTGTAACTAGGAAGGCTTGAGCTTGTAATGAGTAGTAGGAGCGATTTGATATGCCCAGAGGTGAGATCTTGTGCTCGAAGGAGGCGTTCTAGTTCGCGGAGACCTCAGAGAAAGTGATGTGGAAGTCGAAATGGTTATAAACAGGTACTGGCGCAGGATCTTGTTTACGAAATGTCCGGCTGTTGATCAAGTGTTTTGCTGGCACGATAATACTATGGCATACGCGAAGTGTTCTCACCGACGATGAATTAAATTTTGCTTATCTTAGTCATACGGATGCAATCGGTGCAGCCGCTTCATGGAAATGTTGGATCAAGTGCTTTTTAAATCACCAATGCCAAACAATGTGATGTAACTGTTCCGCTGGATCCTCCGATGTTTTATGCAGCCCTTATGAGTCTGCTTATGGACTCAGCATCAGCAGCATGGTCACGAACTCAGTGAAGGAAGACATCTATGGGCGATCCGTCAATTCAACGTGATAATAGGGCTACTTCTCCACAATCAGGACTTTTGAAAAAGCACTTTTTACAGTTTAAAATGCAGCGCAATGCTGCTTCTGGTGATATAAACAAAGAATATTCAATTACGTTTCCCATGCTGACGTATTCTTCCATGACGGTTGTTTACAGTGGGTAGCGTGCCCATAAAGGGAACACTTATTGGTGCAATACGGCTTATAGTATAAAAAGCTATTTTCGTTAGTACTACAAATAATTCCGCAATGTTTTACCCCTACTGTTCACTGTTGCTTTACCCCTGCTGTTCACTTAAGTCAACAAATTCTTACAATTTCTGCGATTATGCGCAGAAGAGCAGTTCACGCAAAGCATTAGTCAGGCTTCGCACACAAGAAAAGTAAACTGAGCCAGTTGGTAAGTTATGCCACATAGAAACGTCAAACCGGGAGCTTCCTAGTGTAATCTGTTGTAAAGTTAGTAAAGAAAGCTCAGTTCATTGCTTGTAACACAATAAATAAAAGTTATCTTGCTCTAGATAATTTTATATTGACTTTCTCGTTTGCGCCAATAGCCAATGATGACGACTTGCGACTTGATGAAGAAAGCGTTTTAATAAAGTACCTAAGTACTTTAACAAAACTTGTAGTTACTCTGTTAGCCACAAGGCTCCCATACTATGTGATGTGTTGATGGTGGATGGTGATGTAGCAAAATGTGAACGTATGAAAGAACAAGCGAACAGCGTTTGATGATAGGATGTTATTGACAAAAAGGAAGGCATATTTGAATGCTTATTTTTGACAACAAGGAAGGGTATACAGTGTTGACGTTCATGACGTTGTCCCGCAAATTTTACGTACATTTTGCTCTTATCCGTTTTTTTTTCTAAACACAGAATGGTGCTCTGATATGATAGAACGTAACGACCAAATCAGTAGGCAAAGACATTTGTTCCGAGTTTTTTTAGTTAGTCTTAGGTCACGCAATTTCTAAAAAAAAAAACACTTTTTCTGAAAGAAAGATTTTCTACTTTTAATAACCTCTTAAAGGTTAGCTAGATTCTGTAGATGCATTGAGGATGACCTTTGCGGGTTTTTTACAGTATTCAAGGTAATGCTGCATTTTTTTTGCGATATACAAAGGATGCAGCTGTGTTAGAAGACTAGTAAGGAGCGCGAGTACTGCACCGAGCCTCGTTACAGAAGCGACAGCATTGCCGCGTTCGCAGCACTTTCCTTCAAAGGTTGGACATTGCAGTGTCCAAAATATTTGAAATAATATAGAATGAAGGCTATTAATTGATGCTGGTCGGGAATAATTGTCCCTACTTTTGCCTGATTTCATTAGGCCAAAAACTGCTAATACGAATGGCTAGCAAAAAAAATAGCGTTTTGCTACTACTGTTAAAACAACTGCAACACTTTTTTGGATGATGCGTGAGGATTATACGTCCGTCGTCTTTATACAAAGGTTCTATCGTCCTTCCTCGGCGAAATTTCTTTCATCTTTCAAATCAGCGTTTCAGGCGTAACGTACATCTATTCTCAAATGCTTGTCACTGCACACGCGGCCGCAACCCGACGCCACGGGCATCTGCTAACGTCCACAAAATGAGCTTCCAGTGTGACACGGCACCGTTTGAATGCCTTGTTAAAAGGCAGGTACTGCTCAACACTTGTTATACCAGCGAAAAAACAAGCTTCCAGTAAAGTGCTGTAACTCCGTTAGGGAAAGTGTTTCGCCACGTTAGCTATTAGAACGTTCGTGATAGTGTTACATTCGAGTTTCGTACGCGAGACCAGAACGTGCGAACGGCCAAAAACATTCCAGAAGTTGTCTTGACGAATAGAAGCACCAGAAACATATGCCAGGACAGGCGAGTAAGCCTCGAACTTAGATAGATAGATAGATATGTGTGGTTTTACGTCCCAAAACCACCATATGATTATGAGAGACGTCGTAGTGGAGGGCTCCGGAAATTTAGACCACCTGGGGTTCTTTAACGTGCACCCAAATCTGAGCACACGGGCCTACAACATTTCCGCCTCCATCGGAAATGCAGCCGCCGCAGCCGGGGTCGAACTTAAGGGCAACAAGCACAATGGCAAAATAAATCAGGGTTTTCATACCTGTGGTGTTGTGGTTATGCAGAAGCAGTCGACTGCGTGAATGGCAAAATCATAAGGGGCGGAACAGGATATAATAATAGCTGCTTTACCTTAGTCTATTGAGGGAGGCCTTGTTCCAAGACTAGCTGGTACTGTAAATTTCATTCTTGACATCGAAGCCGGCGTCTTTTAAAAACTGATAGACTAAAAATCACGGAATTTCAAAGGCATTCACGTTAGGTGAAAAAAAATTTAGTAATGCAGTGGTTTAACTCAAATATTCCCATCATTACTGAATCTTATGTAGCGATATTGGACGCTTGTTTGCGTGTGTTCATGGGCCTTCTTTCACATACGGTAATAAATAAATCTTCACACTAGCACAAAATCGAACTGAAGAAAGGTACAAATTAAGGGTAGACATTTTTTAATTGACATTGTGCTCTTCTTATACGGTGACTTCCGATCCTAAAGTTTATATTTGTTCCCAGTGCTTAGACATGCTGTACACAGATTGCAAGGCTTGACGTTAGTCAGATCGAATAGAATTAGTCTCTAAAAAAGACTGTTTCAGATACAGGGGAGTAATGACAAACAGCGGAGAAAAATTGAACAAGCATTCCGACCAGAATTCAGGCCTTCGTAAAATTTTAATGTTGCTTTTTCTTATATACCTCCGTGATCCCCGTGGCACAGCTGGGACCCATGTTTCAAAGTAAACGTAAAATAAATGCGTCCTATATAGCATTGCCTGATTCCAGAATTCTGCATTGTGTTCTGCAGGTGTCGGACTATTTTAGACATGCTTCTAGGTCTGGTTATTTTGACCAGGAAGTAGTAAACACGGTTTATTGAAAAGAATCTATAAGCCACGAACGCTACTTGAAAAAAAAAACGTGTAATAAGCTTCTTCCAGTAAACATAGACGTGCGCGCGTAAACTGTATTTTACGGGCTGCCAAACGAACTGCCTAACAAAGCTGTAGGCTATAAATATTTATGATGCTCGCTATCGACCACGTGGATCAACAAATGACAAATTCCGATACTGTTCAGCCACTTCTTTGAAGAACTACTGCAACATCGCACATTGTGTGCGTACCAGCTAATCGGGTGTTCCAACTGAGTCGTTGAAGTGAATATATTACAAATTCATGCTTGCCGGCGAAGGGAGAA